CCTTTTTTTTTAAAAAAAAAAAATATTTTTATTAATAATAATAATAATAAAAAAATCACCAGAATTACGGGCAAGGATCAAAGTATAGTTTATTTTTATAACTTCCATTAATAATAATAAAAAAAATTGTATAACTCAAATACAACCAAGTATAATACAAGAGTACAAATTATACAATTGAAGAACAAATTATAATTCTGGTTGTATTTAAAATTATACAACCAAGTATAATACAAGATTATCTGTTTTAATTTTTTGCAATTTTTGCCTTGAATGAAATTTTTGTTTACAATTTGAATTGATATATGTCGAGTGGTTGTTTGCCCCTGGATGATTGTTAGCTTAATAGTTTCTAACTTGAAGCAAGCAGCCGTCCATAAGTATCCAGATGAATATATAGGCGGTCCTTGACCGTTTTAAAACAGAATTGAACCCAAGCTGAATCTGCCGGCTATGCCAGCTAAATCAAACTAAGAATACGTGCTTAACCGGCTGAGGATTACCCCTTGGGTATCCGACAATGCTGTAAGTTGGCATACAGGCGGCCTGTGGCCGGACGTATGCGTTTTAAACAACTGTGGATTAATTGACAAGGATTTGACCTTGATAATGGAAATGGTAGCCGACTATATTGCTTTTTGGCAAAAGTCGGCTGAAGACCAACATTTAATTCACCGCCTGTATTGCGTTGGGGCAATAACCGGGTGTATCTTGATTTTAACAAGATTTTGACCTTGTTTATGGAAGCTGGAGCCGGCTGTAGTGCTTTTTGGCAAAAGCCGGCTGCAGATCAAGATTCAATTCACCGTCTGTATTACCTTGGGGCAATAACCGAGTGTATCTTGATTTCAATAGGTCATTCAAACTGCCATGGGTTATCTTTAACCTAACCGGTTAAAGCCGTTTGAGACTATGACCTGTAGAACAATGTACCACCCGGAAGGGAGATGTTCTCTTCGACGAATTCACCCAATTGGGCGTCGTCGGATGCCTGCTCATGGTTAGAGCAGACGGTTTAAAATATGTTGGCCTTTGGCCTTTTTAATAACTAAGTTAGGTACGTAGCCTTCTATTCACTTTAAGCAAACGGGTGCTCGGATGTGCATTGCACAGATGGGACTTGGAAAATGCTTGGTTATGCATTACACATGGGACTTAGAAGCTGCCCGGTTGTGCATTGCACATGGGTCTTTATACAAAAAAAATTGAAATAAAGTAACTCTTACATTAATATACTCTATTTACAAAATATTTACAAATCCTTAGAAGTATTACTTTTTCAAGTTGTCTACATTCCAGGTTCTGGCTACCTGCCTGCCGTTTGGTGTTTCCAGGCGGTAGGTGCCGCCTCTAACTTCTTAAAAAATCCGGTAGGGGCCCTCCCAATTGGGGGTTAGCTTCCCTTGCTCATTTTCCCTACCGGTTGCCTCCATTTTTCGTAGCACAAAGTCCCCCACTTTGAGGGGCCGTTTGTGTACTCTTCTGTTGTAGGCCCAAAGACCACCAGCTCTTTCAATCTTCTTTTTTATGCCGTCTGAGATGAGCTTGTTGAAGGCTTCAACTTGAACGTTTGCCTGGGGGCGGCCAACGGATGCAAAATAATGTGAGATCCCCTGATCTCCTAACCAACTCTTGAGCGTAGGCGTTTCAAACTGAGGACCGTTGTCAAAGACCATAGACATAGGGACCCCAAACCGAGTGATGATGTTCCTCCACATGAAGGAGATGACATCCTTTGTCTTAATGCCCTTGACCACCTCTACCTGAACCCACTTGGTGAAGTAATCTACAACCACTAGAATGTATCTTCTTCCACCTGATGCGGGCGTATAAGGACCTAAGATGTCCATCCCCATTTTGCAAATGGAACCGGGCTCTAGATGGCCGTTAGATCGGTTTTCGGACGGTGTATGAGCCGGCCAAACCTCTGGCACTTGTTACATTTCTTCACCAATTCCATGGCGTCTGCCTCAAGAATGGGCCAAAAATAGGCTTGCCGCCTGGCCCTCTTTGCTAGAGTTCTGCCGCCTATATGTGAAGCACAAAAACCCGCATGCAGATCCTCTAGCACCTCTTTTCCCCTTTCAGGGGTAACACACTTCAGCAACGGCTGGAGGTAACCCTTTCTGAAGAGCTCTCCCTTGTACATTTCGAAGCTCAAAACTCGCTTTTTCAATACTGCCGCCTCTAAAGGGGCATCCGACAGAGTGTCGTCGACCAAATAATCTCGGATGGGGTCCATCCAGGTACAACTTTGGTCAAGAACTCCAATGGGTTCATGTTCAATGCTTCTTTTTTCCTTGACCTCCCAAAATACTGACCTAGGCGTATCACAAGTGGCGGATGAGGCCAGTTTGGACAGTGCATCCGCCTGATTGTTCTCTGACCGGGGCACCTGGCTTAGATGAAATTCATCAAGTGTCCCAGCCTCATCTTTGACCGCCTGCAGATACTTGATCATCGCCGGATGTGTGGCCTCATAGTCTCCATTGAATTGGCTAACAATCAATTGAGAATCTGAGCAGGCGTCAACTTTCCTTGCCCCTGCCGCCTTACACATGTGTATACCGGCTAGCAGGGCCTCGTACTCCGCCTCATTATTGGAGGCCTGGAACTTGAACCGTAGTGCATATTCATATTTGTTTCCTTCCGCAGATATGCATATTACGCCTGCACCACAGTCGTTCATAGTAGAGCTCCCGTCTACATATAACTTCCAAACCTGATCAACATTTTTCGGCTGTGCCGGTCTTGTCATTTCAACAATGAAGTCAGCGAACGCCTGACCCTTCACTCCCTTTCTAGCTCGAAGGAAATTTCCAGATTTTGCAATTCAATAGCCCACTTGAGCATTCTGCCGGATGACTCCAGGGTTGTCATTGGTCGCTTGAGGGGTTCGTCTGTATAGACCACCACCGGGTGTGCCAAGAAGTATGGTTTTTGCTTCTTGACTTCCATGAAAAGAGCGAGGCCGAATTTTTCAACCAAGGGGTACCGCAGCTCAGCATTCTGGAGAACGTGACTAATGAAATATACCGGGAGCTGGATGCCGTCTCTCTCAGCTAGGAGAACGGCACTGAGGGCATGATCTGAGACGACCAAATACATGTAGAGAACCTCCCCTGCCAGAGGGCTGACCAGCCGTAGTACAGAGTAGAGGTGCTCCTTCAATTTCTGGAATGCCGCCTCAGCATTCTCCCCCCATTCAAATCTAGTCTTCTTCTTGATTGCCTGGAAGAAGTAGAGGCACTTGTCACCTGACCGGCTGAGGAATCTCCCAATGCCGCCAGACAACTGGTGAGTTTTTGGACCTCTTTGACAGTGCCAGGTGACTTCATGTCAATTACCGCCTGTACTTTGTCCGGATTGGCCTCTATTCCCCTTTGATCAATCAAGAATCCGAGAAACTTCCCAGACTCAACACCAAAGACGCACTTTTTTGGGATTAAGCATGACATTATGCCGCCTGAGGGTGGTGAAGGTTTCTCGGAGGTCAGCAAGGTGATCCGTCTGAAGCTAGGATTTGACTATCATGTCATCAATGTACGCCTCTACATTCCTCCCAATTTGATTAATGAAGACTGTGTTAATCATCCGTTGGAAGGTAGCAGGCGCATTCTTCAACCCAAACGATATCACCGTATAATAGAGCAACCCCTGATCAGTGACGAATGCCATCTTCTCTTGATCTTTTTTCCACAAGGGTATCTGATGGAAGCCTGAGTAGGAATCCAGGAAGCTCATCAAAGCATGACCGGCTGTAGAGTTGACTAGACTGTTGATCTTTGGAAGTGCATAGCTATCCTTCGGACATGCCTTGTTTAGATCTGTGTAATCAACACACTTCCGCCAGGTCCCATTCGGATTTTTGACAAGGATGACATTGGTTACCCAATCTGGGTAGTAGCATTGCTGAATGAACCCGGGATCTAGTAGCTTCTTGACCTCGGCGGCTGCCGCCTGAGATCTCTCCTCGCCGTGGTTCCTTTTCTTTTGCCTAACCGGCTTCTTTTTTGGATCCACGGCAAGTTTGTGGAAACTTAGATCCGGGCTGACTCCTGGCATTTCTTCCACTTCAAAGGCAAAGATGTCTTTGAATTCTTTCAGGAGGTGGTGCAAGTCTGCACCCAACTTTGCAAAAGCAATTATCCCCACTTTTACGGTTCTTTTCGGACGGCTGTCATCTAAAATAATGTCAATAGTATCACCAGCCGGCTGGGGACGGAGATCCTCTGATCGCTTCCCGATCAGTGATTGATATTGCTTCTCTTTTTTGGCGGCCACCAGATGGTCCGCCTTTCTCTTTTTGCCCGCTGCTTTAGGAGCAGGCGCGGCTTCCTTGTCATCAAGGTCCATGGGCTCCTCGTTATGGTCGGCTACAATAGCAGTCGACTTGACGTCTGAGAGGTAGCACTCCCTAGTCGTCTTCTAGTCCCCGCTCAGGGCACCCATTGACCCATCATCCCTCTCAAATTTGATCAGCATGAGGGATGGAATGATGACTGACTTGGACTCATTGAGGGTAGGACGGCCCAAAATGAGATTGTAGACAGTCAATTCCTCGACCACCAAAAACTTGACGACCATGTGCCGTCCTTCCCCCTTATCTCCTAGCCGGATGGGTAGGTCAATCCTCCCCATCGGATGCACTTACTACTACAAAAATAGGCAAAGAGATCTACTAAAAGAGACCTGTTACAAGACTTAATAGGTCTCTTTGGTCAAAAAGACCTGTTGTTACTGATAACAGGTCTCTAATGAGTTGTTTGTTGGCGGGAAAAAAACAAAGAAACCTGATGTTAGTGTTAAGAAGTCTCTTTGTTTTTATTATTATTTGTTTAATCTTAAAATTATTTATAAGTTCTTACATACTAGTATCACGTGTACACTAGTATCAAATACTAAGAAGCATTCTACAAATATTGAGTAAAATTTTGTTAAAAATAATAAAATATATTTTTTTTTTTGGTAAATAAAAAAATAATAAAATAATTTTTTTTTTTGGTATATAAAAAAATAAAAAAAATTAAAGACTACTAACTTCCTTTTTTTTTAGGAAATGTATACTACGCTACTACTAATTATATTAGACTAACACTTAACAAAAAAAAAAAAATTAAAGTAAGAGTTAAAAGGAGGTGGAGAGTAGTAGCACTGTAGCATAGCAGTTTCATCTTCCTCCTCCAAAAAAACCCAAACCCTTGAACTTCCATGGTTTCCCTCCCAAGTTTTTCACCATCATCCACTTTGTAAGGCCGCCACCGTCCACTTTGTAAGGCCTCCACCGTCGTCTAGTTTACAAGGCCGCCACCATCTGAAGCGTACTCGGGTCACGACTATCAACCACTCTGTTTCAGGCGATTGTACAAAGGTAAGCCGTTCGCATTCCGGGCCACGTCCCCCAACCACAAATTCGTTCTTCTTTCATTGTTCACTATTAATTATTGATAAAGATTGTTCAATTTCCAGCCATAATACAAGCAATTGCACTACTTTACATTTGATCGATTTCCCGCCACAACCAGAACATTCTTATTCTTTTTAAGGTATTTTTCATTCCTGTTCCTTACCCAGTCAAATAAGCATGCGTCTTATATGTGAATATACTTGGCCTCTGGCTAGATTGAGTTTATAGCATTCGTGATTCGTGAATTTCTGTATTTAAGTTGTGCAACATCACCGATTAGCCAATTGTTTTCGTAATAATTTGTTCTGCCTTGTTTATAGTTGTACAATGACAATTACGCTAATGAGGCTATTGGGTGATCATTTTGTAATATCAGATAGCGTAGTAAATGAGTTGAGGAAATTTGATACTTATTAGAAGTTCCATTTTAAAAAAAAGATATAGGAAGTACATCTCAGCTGTTTATGTTGAGAGTAGTCTTCAATAGTTGTGATGGATGAGATGGTTATGGCTCTGTAATTCATTGTAAGTTTTATGACTTAGTTAATTCATTAGCCAATTTGATCTTGAATTAGCAATGTAATATGATGGAAGCAATTAATAAACATATAATCACCGCCCATATACATAGATTAATAATGATACATAAATATTTAACATAAATCAATTGATTTTGATTATCTACATTTAAAATATTGATAATTGGATAAAATAGAGTTGAAAGAACTATATTTAAGTTGTGCAACATCACTGATTAGCCAATTGTTTTCGTAATAATTTGTTCTGCCTTGTTTATAGTTGTACAAATATTAGAAGTTCCATTTTTCTTTGTGTTTGGTGCTTCTTCTGGTTTACAATAAATTTTGGCGACTTTTGTCCTCATTTGTTTGCCCCATAGTTATATTTTGATTGTGTGGAGTTGATGACAAGGAAAAGTGGTGATCCTAAATATTTAATATACGTTGTAATATTTGAGTAAAGTTGTGGTTCCTCATGTATATGTATGATATGAGACAATCTTTTAGGGATACTCTAAAAAAGATAATGTGGCAAAATTTAAGGGACAAAGAGTTGTTTGATTCAAGTGTTGAAGCGTAAGAAGCTCAACTCAAAAATTGAAACTGGCCTCAAGTCGAAACACTAGGTTATGATCAGCATTTGTGACTTTTTTTTCTTAAACTCGATAATCTTTGTTGCCATGGGTTATAGTACTACCTCCGTAAACGGTTATCTGCAACGATGGGACATTTTTCCTCTCTACTTTATGTCCCATCGTTGCAGATAACCGTTTACGGAGGTAGTATTAAAATTTTGTCTTGCTTTTAAAGTCTATTGTACTGTAAATGGATTTAATGTTTCTTTTTATTATTCTCTAATTGAATACAATGTTCTGAATTAATATGATATTTAAATTCAGATGATTCATGTTTAGTTTGTAGCCTTAAATATTCTTCTTGCATATGTGGTGGCTGCTTGGGTTATGGTTTCAAATTTTATTTTCCCGTGAAAAGTATGGTTTTGTCGTTTTTCTGTTGATAAAAATATTTTGTCTAATCTAGTAAATATTTGTTGTATTCTCTAATTTAATATCTTGTCACCCCCTTCGCTATAATCAAGACTTACATGTACATATATGTGAAGACATTATCGCTTTCGAAAATATTATGATTATTATAAAGTCTTGAATTGCTATTGGTGCATATAGAATGGATCGAAGTTGGATATCAACAAAAAAACCGGGTGATCCAGAATATCAAGCAGGTGTTAGAGAGTTCATTAATTTTGCAGTTACTAATAGTGGTGGTCGTCCCAAGCTACTATGTCCTTGTTATATGTGCCACAATTTGCTACATAAGAGGTCGGACGAAATACTTAATCACTTGAGTAAGTGGGCATTTGATAGAACATATACCAATTAGATTTGGCATGGAGAATGTAGGGAAAAACCTCTTGTTAGTAATGTAGCGGGTAGTGTATGTGAAGGTAATAGCACAAATGAGGCAGATAATTTAGAAGATTTGTTGCATTCAGTGAAGGTAACTTTGATGATAATCCTACCATGTTAGAGAGCATTTTAAATGACTCTGAAAAGCCTTTGTATGACGGTTGCACTAAGTATACTAGATTGTCTGCTATAATCAAGTTATACAACTTGAAAGCAGGTCATGGTTGGACTGATACAGGCTTCAACATGCTACTAGAAGTTGTCAAAGACATGCTTCCAGAAGACAATGTCCTTCCATCTACTACTTATGAGGCAAAAAAGAGTTTAAGCTCTATGGGTTTACCTTACGAGAAAATCCATGTGTGTCCTAACAATTGCATGTTGTATAAAAATGAAAATGAATCTTTACAGAGCTGCTCAATTTGTAAAGCTTCGCGGTATAAGAAAAGTGGTGGCACAGTCCCTTGCTAAGGTATTATGGTATTTTCCAATTATACCACGGTGTAGGCGGCTGTTCTCAAATGCAGGGGATGCAGAGAAATTAATATGGCATCATTATGGTCGATTAGATGATGGAATGCTTAGACACCCCGCCGATTCTCCGCAGTGGAGGTTTATTGATGGAAAATACCCAGACTTTGCAAAAGAGAAGCGTAATCTAAGGCTTGCATTGTCTACAGATGGGTTCAATCCATTTAGGAACTTGAGTAGCACATATAGTACATGCCCCGTCATATTGGCTACTTATAACTTACCTCCTTCGTTGTGCATGAAACCATGATATATGTTTTTAGCATTGCTAATTTCTGGGCCTAAACAACCTGGAAATGACATTGATGTGTATTTGGAACCTCTCATTGATGATTTGAATATTCTTTGGGAGGATGGTGTACAGGTGTTTGACGCACATCGTAACGAGAACTTTATCATGAAAGCAATGTTGTTTAACACCATCCAAGATTTTCCTGCTTACGGTAATCTTTCTGGGTATACCGTGAAAGGGAAAGCACCTTGTCCCAAGGCATGGAGGATTGCGGGGGAGAATGGTTGAGCGCATCACGCAAGCATGTGTTCCCTATACATCGGCAATATCTTCCTTTGAGTCATCCATTTCGTAAGAGGAAAAAGGCCTTCAATGGGAAACAAGATTTTAAAGGTTGCCCAAGAGTTCTGTCAAGTGCAGAGGTCTTTAAAAAGGTTAAAGACATTCAAATTACCTATGGGAAAAAGCATAGGTCTGCTCTTCCTACGCAAGGCTTTAAGAAGTGTTCATATTTATGGCGCCTACCTTATTGGAGATTCCTTTTTGTGAGACATTCGCTTGACGTGATGCATATTGAAAAGAATGTGTGTGATAGTTTGATTGGTACTTTATTGAATATTCGTGGGAAGACTAAAGATGGCACGAAAGCTAGAGATGACTTACAAACCATGGGGATTAGAAGTGAACTCCATGCTGTTGTGAATGACAAAGGTCGAGCATACCTGCCTCCAGCAGCTTATACATTGTCAAGAAAAGAGAAAATTGAATTTTGTGAGAGCTTGGCTGGAGTAAAAGTGCCAGAGGGTTATTCTTCAAATATTCGCAACTTTGTGAATATGGAAAACTTGAAACTTGTGGGCCTTAAATCTCATGATTGCCATGTTCTAATGCAACATCTTTTACCAGTGGCTATTCGTTTAATTTTGCCTAAAAATGTTCGTTTTGCCATAACCAGACTTTGTTTATTTTTTAATGTAATTTATAGCAAGGTCTTTGATCCTAAAGAGTTGACTGCATTGGAAGATGGAATTGTTGTAACTTTGTGCCAATTAGAAATGTACTTTCCACCATCGTTTTTTGATGTCATGATTCATTTACCAGTTCACTTGGTTAGAGAGGTGAGATTTTGTGGTCCTGTGTACTTGAGAAATCAGTGGCCTTTTGAAAGGAAAATGAAAACATATGGCGGTTATGTTAAGAACGCTTTTCACCCTGAAGGTTGTATCACTAAACGAATTTTTTATGAAGAAGTTCTTGCATATACTAGTGAATTTATATCAAATTCTATGAAGATAGAGCTTCCCGTTTCTCGACATATGGGAAGAATGGGTGGTCAGGGGACCCTAGGCCGTAAACAACTTGACATGTCTTATGACGATTGGCACAAGGCCCATTCGTACATTCTTCACAATGAGGATGAAGTAATGCCATATATTCAAAAACACATGAGAGACTTGAGGAATTACGATAGAAGAGCAAATGAGAAATCAATAGCTGATGAACACAATAGATTGTTCATTAGGTGGTTCAAGGATCAAGTTTTGAGGGAGCTTCAGGATTCTCCGAGTTCTATTTCTGATCGACTTAAGAGTTTGGCATATGGACCTAATTTCAACGCTACTTACTATTCAGGTTATGTTATCAATGGTTTCACATTTTACACAAGGCTGCAAGATGAAAATAGTACTATGCAAAATAGTGGGGTTACTGTAGAGGCCGAAGCTATTCATTTTGCTAGTGCAAAAGACAAGCATCCCGTTTCTAGCACAATGCGATACTATGGATTTATTGAAGAGATTTGTGAGTTTCATTACTCCAACTTTTCAATACCAGTTTTCAAATGTCAATGGGTTGATAATAACAACGGGGTTGATCATAGTAGCCTTGGAATGACTTTTGTTAACCTTAATAAGATTGGTCACAAGGAAGATCCTTTCATTTTATCTAGTCAAGCTAAACAAGTGTTTTATATGACCGATCCATAAAATAAGAGAATGTCAGCTGTTATAACACCCAGACCACGACATGCCATAGATGATTGGGGCGATGATAGTGTTTTGGAAGGTAGTTCTTTGCTGGGAAAAGGACTAGTTGATGATGATGTTGCTGATGATTCTTCGATCTACGCAAGAGAAGACCACAGTGAATGTTTGTGGGAAGATGATGATAACAATAATAAAAGTGAAGCGAAAGCGAGTGAAGCGAAAGCGAAAGAGAAAGAGTAGTCGTAAAAACTCTTAAGGGGTTCAAGGTGAATTTTGCTTTTATATATCTACTTTTATTACAAAAGAGAATGTTTGCTCTTAAATGCTAATAACTTTGAATTTATTAGGGTTATGCATGCTTCTACAGATTTAAAAAAAAAAAAACCTGCTGTAATTTAAAAAAAAAAAAACTGCTGTAATTTAAAAAAAAAACTTGCTGTAATTTAAAAAAAAAAACTGCTGTAATTTAAAAAAAAAAACCTGCTGTAATTAAAATAAATTGCTATTGCTATTGCTATTTGCATCTTACAAGATCATCACTGGCTTCCTGGCTGGTTATACTTTTCAGTTTCATTATAGGGACCATTTAGGCAGGTATTTGGGATGTATATTTGCAAATTTCACTGTCCTCAGTCTGGTCTTTGAAATTGCTTTCCCAGCCATGGCTATGTAACATTATTGGGTGGCCTTTCATCATGCTTTCTTTATGCCCTTGATTGTAGTTTTACTTTTGATGACTTGCACCCACTTGGGTTGCTTACTCCATTCAGAGTCCAATACTTAGGTTTCATTTGGGTACATGCTACAGACTGATTTTAGGCTTTTAAGATCAGAATATGTGCTTGTTTGGTTTGAGGCTTAGCATGATTATGTGTCATACTAGCACAAATCAACTTACATTTTTTAATCACCTTTTAAATCTCTATTCTGTGTGCCAAAGGATTGTACAATGTACATGGTGTATGCTACTCATTTTTCCCCAGTCGTCAACTCATTACGGAGTACTTTTTTTCCCTGCTCTTCCTTGTTGATTTTGTTTGCCAATTTGTGCTTTGACTAACTACTGGTCACCCTTACCATTGTGTTTGTATTGGTTACATCCAGATCACGTTCATTGCGTAGCTAACTTATGGTGCTATTTTCATTTAGGTTTGTGTTTATTTTGCCTCTACATGTTTGTCGAGAGCTCACTGCCGCTCAGTAATTAAAAAAAAAAACCTGCTGTAATTAAAAAAAAAGCCTGCTGTAATTGAAAAAAAAAAATAAAAAGTTCTCATTTTTTTTTTAACGGATATCCGGGTACCCGAATTTAGCAAAGCTTGTCCCATGTCCCGGCCCACGAAATTTTTATTTTACCGAAACGAGTACCCGACCCGAAAAAAAACAGAAAATTTTGAAAATTTCCCGTCGGGTATTTTGCGGGTCATTGGGAATTCGGGACGGGACAACCGGGTCGGGTTTTTTTTAAGACCCCTACTCTCACGTATCATGCTAGCTATCTTTTACTCAAGTATTTTAATAATGTGTCGTGTTCTTTTATATAACTAACAAAGTGAATTTAACTTATAAATTTAACGTAGGTACATGGCCAGAAAGAAAAAGAAAGTACAACCGAATGATGATTCCGAAGAGTCAAGTTGTGAGGAGAGAGGTCGTGCTGTAGTTAAAAAGGTGGGGAAGACTATCCATGCTGGTACCCAAATCCCATTACAATGGCATCCAAGTAAAAGAGTTCCCACTGGTGAACACAAGACCCATTTTTCCACCTACATTGGTGTAATGGCACGTGAAAGAATAAGCATTGCCTACAAAGATTGGCATGAAGTTCCAACAGGAGTGTTAGATGAAGTTTATGGATTTATCTCGGTAAGATATACTAATCATGTATTAGAATGGCAAGATCATTTTAAATTTAAGTTTTTTTTTTGTACTAACTTATAAATTTGTTTTGTCTGAACATAGAAGGGGTTTTATGTTCCTGAGAATCGCAAAGGTTATGTACTAACACGAGCATCGATTTGATGGAAAGCTTTCAAGACTAGATTAAGAACCAAGTGGCTATATAAAAGAGATAAAACACTTCGTCAAAAGCCACCACACAAGTATCCTTTTATATGTGAATCGGATTGGGATACCTTTGTTCAAATCTGCACTTCTGATGAATTTAAGGTATACTTTGATTTATTGCATCATCTAAACAATAATGTGAATATATATGTACAAGTAAACAGTTTTATCAATTGACTTTGAGCTTTAAAAATATGTAGGAATTGAGTGAAAAGAATCGTGAAAAGGCAAAGAAGAAGTCCTCAAGTTATCGTGGCGGTAGACTTGGGTACCAATATTTTGAAGAGGAGATTGTAAGTGTTAATTACATGATGTTTACTTACTATGATTTTGCACAATTTTAATAATATTAACTAAATATTCAAAATTGGTTTTCTGTACTATTAGGTAAAAGAACTTGAAAAGCAAGGAGTCCATGTGTCACGAGTGTCGCGGCATCTAACTTGGATTAAAGCTCATTCTCATGTCAAAGATGGAGTTATAACATTTGACAATCTTGCTGATAAGGAAATCCATGATGCAATAGTAAGATAGTATATTTAATCTTTTTGAATGTTTTACTTTTCAAGCATTTAAAAATTTTCTTTTCAAAATAATAATCTATGCAAATACTTTTATTAAACTTGATCGTTTGTATGTTTTTCATATAGCATTAGAGGGTCAAGTTCAAAGAGGTGAAATCATTGTTCAGGGTCGAGATGATATCTTAGCAAAAGCAATGCATAAGAGTGAGCATGGTGGTTCAGTGAGAGGTGTTGGTTCAGGCATTACAGTGAAGGATTATTTTGGTTATAACAAACCTGCTCCACCCAGCCAATTGCATGCTGAAATAGGCATGATGAAATCGAAACTTGTCTCCATGGATAACAGACAAAATTTTATGATGTCCTTCTTGATGTCATGCTGCAGCCAAGAGCAAATAAAATCTTTCATGGCTGTTGGAGGTCAACAAGTTGGTTTAGGTGGATTTTTTGGTTGCGACAATACTTCTAGTAGTTTGGATGCTGGGTTTGGTGGCCTCACAAGTGGGTCAGGTGGCTTACGTGGGTTTGGTAACCTAATAGGTGGGTTTAGTGGCTTGACAGGTAGCTTAGCTGGTGGGTCTGTTAGCTTGGGTGGTGGGTCTAGTGGCCTGGGTGTTAGCCTAACAGGTGGGTTTGGTGGCCTGGAGGGTGGGTCTGGTGGTCTGGCAGGTGGGTCTGGTGGCCTAGAGGGTGGCCAGGCTAATGGGTCTCTTGGCCTGGCTGGTGGGTCTGGTGGCCTGGAAGGTGGGTCTAGTGGCTTGACAGGTAGCTTAGCTGGTGGGTCTGTTAGCTTGGGTGGTGGGTCTAGTGGCCTGGGTGTTAGCCTAACAGGTGGGTTTGGTGACTTGGCAGGTGGGTCTGGTGGCCTAGAGGGTGGCCAAGCTAATGGGTCTCTTGGCCTGGCTGGTGGGTCTGGTGGCCTGGAGGGTGAATCTAGTGGTCTGGCAGGTGGGTCACGTGCTCCCCAATTGGATGATACTTTTGGTCAGGGGCTTCAAGGTATCCCTCTAACTCAACTGTTAACAGGCAAAATTTTCGAGCAAGGGAGAAAAGGGCATGGGTTTACCCCTGATTCATTGGGGGGGTAGATATTTATGGTACACAAGGTAATGGGAAAGAAGATAATTGCACAAAAACGCAATCTCATACTGAAAACCTAGAGACTGAGGCATATCATGTTCCCTGGCCTCAAACATATCGTAACAATCAACTTGAGCCTACAACTAACCTTGCGAATCAGAGTTGTGATTTGAAAGAATTTCCCGAGGTATGCCTTTTCATTCTAATTAAGTCCTCATGACTGAATTGTTTAAACCAATATAGAGGAATTAACTCAATATATATAAAATGGTGATTAGTTGCAAAAATTTAAACGTTATAGTCCTGTAAGTTTTACCTTTTGATAAAAATGGGTGTATTTATGTTCAGGGGTGGAGTGATTGTTGTTTAGTAATCGAAGGAAACAACAAAGAGTTGCAAATTGTTGCTAACGGACAGGTAGAGAAAACAACAGATGTCAGAGCTACTCATTCTAGATTAATGCCACCTAGTCATGCTCGAGTCACAATTACAGAAGATATTGTGCCAACTGCTCTCTTGCCATGTCCTAATGAGGAACTAGTCTATGTTTGTCATGCAAAGAAAAGCTACACACCTTGGCCGATTTCCTTGATTTTTCCGAGAAAGGTATGAAATTTAATAACTGGTACATGTTTGCAGTGTAATATTATTCAGCATGTGTTATCAACGGGGCACTTTGTTATGTATGCAAATTCCTTAAAAAATTTCAGCTTAATCCATCCAGATCTCTAGTAGGAAATGTCAGAACATATATAGTACTTAAAAATTTATTTTCTAAATTCATTCATCAAAAGCAAGCAATGACTTAGGCACTAACCATCATGCCACGAATATTCTAGACTTCTATTTACTTTATTTTATGGTGAAAATGAAAAGATGTGTTATTAGCACTTGTTTCGTGTATTTAATATGATGATGTTATTTGTATGCAGACATGCATCATTTGTATATTGACTTGTATAATACAAGTAATCACTAGTGCATTTTCCTTATATATATACTATAATCATGTTATAATGTTTCTTATTCTTCACGCTACAGACCAATACCCACTCAGAAAAAGTGTTAAATGTAACAACACCATCTCCACATTTAGCATCATCTCAAGTATCCACAACTCCTAAGTACGTTATCACCGAAAAGGATCGCGAGATGGTGACCTTCACGTGGTTACGTATGTTAAATACTCATGCTATGGTATTGAAAAAAAGGGGTGTGACACTCTCTATACCAATACCAAAATGCATGCTTCTTAATGAAGATGTGGGTGTGATGCTTGACTACGAGGACTTGTTGGATTGGTGTTTTAAAAGAGAGGTTGGAGAATCCCAAATGAACATTTTCATAAAGCGAATGTTTTTTACCAATTACCCCTTTAGTCTTGAATGTATTTGTGTATTATTAACTTCAACGTATACAACTTTTGATGGGGCAAGGTACTTGAAAGGTCATTGTCATAATGAAGTTGTCTCGGGTATGTACGGATTCTGTGACACAAATGTTTTATCTCCAATGACACCAACTACAGATGAGGAGGTTCGATCCGACTATCTAGCTCGTGTTTTTGGATGCAACGAGGGAAAGAATGTCAATCAATTCTTCTTTGCTCCTTATAATGACAAGTAAGTGTACGTAGTAGTTAGTTAGAGTATGTTCGTCGTTTTCCTCAAAGGCAATGGTCTGGCTTTGCATCCAAGTATTGGTTGGTTTATTTTGCTTCTTTGACCTTTTCATTGGTCGTATACAGTAGCTGATGTCATCAGATTTTTTTAAAGATGTTTGGTAAATTCAGGCATTGTTTGGGTAGTTTGATGATGCTTTGATGCTAAAAGGTCAATTGTAGAACTATTTTCCTATTATATACTTGCTGCTTGACCTCGTTAATGGATTTAAAACTAAGTAAAAAGGCTGGAAATAATTAATGTACCAAGTAAGGTCAATGATGATCAACTGTATAGCTTGATGTTTAAATGCTGTCACTGCAATGCTCATTCCCGCTGTGATAAGGTGTTAACTGGTTTAAATTCTGGTTTGTTGCCTAACTTTCATCCAGGAATATGTAGTTTTCAGAAATTTGTTCATCGTAAATCTCATGCTTTGTATCCAGGCTTCTGAGTTCTGACCAAGGCTTTTTATGTTTTCTTGTATTGTTCTTCTGAGTTCTGACCAAGCCTAAATTCCTAATGCAAACCGTTATATGAGTTTAGGGACTGTGATACAAACATATACATAAATCTTCAGGCGTCATTATGAAATTATCTCTCTGTTTAGATATAGTTGTCATGTTGTCCAATCCTATCATGATGCCCTAATGTAAAGCAGAATGTGAAACTTCAATCATCTATATATGGTACAAAGAGACTCCCGATGCCCTAATGTAAAGCGGAAGCTACTTTTTTTAACAAATTGTGCTTTGCCTAGAGCCTTAGCTTCTTAAAAATTTGATTGGTTATTCTATACAATTACTATTCAATATTCACCCTTGATTTTTGCTAATATAATCACTATCATTGTGTGTAGTATGCATTGGAGGTTAGCTGTTATTAGTCCTTGGAATGGACTAGTGTGCTGGTTAGATCCGGCCGGGGAAGAAAACGAGATCAATGAGTTTGCTAAAAAGATCATAAATGAGTACGTGTTAGAGTAATTATCCAACATATCTGTTTTTTGTATTATATATGCTCTATTATTAATTATTCATTTCATTATTTTTGTCAAACAATGTCACAATTCTATAGGGGATTAAAAAAATTCAGCATGGTCCATCGAAAGGACATTAAGAAGATAAAAAAGGATCCATATATTGAGTGGAAGCAACCTAAGGTATGTCATTTTAGTTTATACTCTTGATGTTAAAAGAATAATGTGTTATTTAAATGCTTGTGTTATAATGCCAAATTTTCATGCATTTAAAATTTGAATGTCTTTTTTAACAGTGTCCTCGACAACCTCAATACTCCAAGGTTTGTGGATATTATGTTTGTCGCTATATGCTTGAGATTATACAGAAAAGGGTATTGTGGGTTTCCGATAAGGTATATTTTATCTGATTTATGCATTGTTTTTTGATGTGAATTTATGTAGATAGTTCAGAATCTTTATTTCTATAACTTGGTTTATCATTACCTTGTTGTCTAAGTATCTCGAATATAGGAAAAAACAATTATGTCTCTTGACTTATTTCGAGCTTCTAAATATGCAAGCTTGTGTTCTTTTTCTTTTTTTTTTTGGTAAGTAAGCAATTTTATTTATACCAAAGAGAAGAGGGCAAGCCCTCAAGATTACAACGGCTAAACAACCCAAAAAGGCACAAAAACACATGGCACACCCAATCCTACCCAACTGCCTATACACAAAAAGCCGAGAACAACAATGGGCCAAAAGCACAACAACCCCAAAGAAAAACTAACAAACAACAGAACAGTACCAAACAAGAGCTCTACCCTACACAAAAACATGCCCAAGGGAAGCAAAAGCCTCAGGCAACCAGAACAAAACACGCTGAAACCAGAAAGGGCAGCAACCAAACACAGCAGAATCCACAACAAATCAGGCACACCACGAGCATAAATTGTCAGAAAACTGAAAAACCAAAAGCAAAGAAAAAGCCTCCAACAGCCCTACCAACACCAGATCACAGCACACAGCAAGCAAGCCTAAAACACGCTGCTAACAGGACATTTTGCTGAAATAGTGACCCATACAGAGAGTAGCAGCATACTCCATCTCTTTCTTTCCCATACAGGACAATATTGTCATCAACATGTTGGAGCTCTTCAGCACTGCTACAGCAGCTACCAGCATCTTCAGCCCACCTTAAACAGCCCCTTTTCTGGTTCTGTCTTCTATCCTCCCCCTTCGAATTAATCCCACCAGCCTACACACCATTAGGTTTGCCTTGATCCCTAGTAGCTGACCCAGAAGGATGCTGAAACTTCCTGCCAGGAACATCTACTTTCTTGCCAGCAAGTTGCACCGGTCTCCACCTTTTCCTAGCCATGGATTCAGTAGGCTGCTTCCAACCCTTTTTCTTAGGACAGAAGTTCTCCATATGTCCCATGTCCATACAAAAGGAGCATGTGACAGGCTTCCACTCAAAAAATATTTTATGTTTCACACTTTCACCATTTTCATCAAGAAATTCAATATGTTCGTACAACTGCTACTTTGCAAGGAAAATTTACCCCCAAATGGCTCATTTTAATCATGACATTGCATATTTCAACTCATATCATTATATTCATTTGTTTGTGTGTGAAATTTTTTTTTTTTAATATAGCATTATCTTCCATTATTATATATTATGAATGAGTTATGACTATATACGGCGATTTATTGTTTATCTTGCAGTTTTTTAAAGCGGACCCCTGTACATATTCAACTGAAAATATTGACGAAATTAGAGACTTGTGGGCTAAGTATGTTCTAGAGCTTGAACAAAATGAAATGAAGATGGTATAGACATTGCGTGAGTTTAGTTTGTCCATTACTTTTGGGAAAAGTATTGCGATTTTTAGAATTTTTTGTATAGTACTTTTGGAGCTTATCTTAGATGGCATGGAAATTAAATGAATGGTTTAAATTTTTGGGGAATACTGGATTTTTTTTTGCAAATGTTGCTGTATACTATTTTTGGAGGTTATACTATAATTAATGGATATATGTAAAAGTGTTTATCAACTTTTGTTTATTATTATATGTTCCATGAATATTATAAAATTATGGAGTAATGTACTTCGTATATGATGTGCATATATATAACAGGTGAAAAATATAGGTACAAATATCCTACAGGTGCCATACAAGAACAAATACTGCTCATATACCGTACAGGAACAAATACAAATATAATTGGATTTTGTGAAAAAAAAATTAAAAAAAAAGTAACAAAGAGACCTGTTATCGTTACTAACAGGTCTCTTAAATAACAACTATGAGACCTGTTGGCCATGGTAACAGGTCTCTTTGCTTTCTGAAATATATAAAATAATCACGCGCAAAGAGACCTGTTGTCTCACTTCTTAGGTCTCTTATTAATATCAAAGAGACCTGTTCTATTGACCAGGTCTCTTAACCAAAGAAACCTGTGAGGTAGAGACCTCCAAAGAAGAGGTCTCTTATGCCTATTTTAACAGGTCTCTAAGGCATATTTTGTAGTAGTGCGTACTACTCCTCCCTCAAAGCCGACTAGGGGGTGAGAAGCCTTGTGCATACTGCTAGGCTTGTACTTGAGCTTTGCCAAGCACTGATAGCTTATCAGGTTAGACGAGCTCCCGGTATCATTGAGGATCCGGCCCACTCGTTGGTAGGCTACCTTGCAATCGATGATAATTGGGTCATCATGGGGCTGCCTGACCATACCCCGATCCTTCTCAGAGATGAAGACCTCAGGGAAGGTGTCTTTTAACGCCTGACCCTCATCTTTTGGGTTGGATAGTTTCCTCCGGATGTTATCCTTGGTACCCCGGATGGTAGGACCACCGCTTGCGAAGCCGCCTGCTATGGTGAAGATGTGCTCTTCATTAGTGTCAGAGCTCACAGCCGGCTTCTTTGACGGTTGTCCATTGTTGGGTTTGGGGTTACCCTTGGACTTCACCAAGTAGGATGTCAAAGCCCCTTCATCATCCAGACGGTCCAATAGCCGCCTGAGGCTATAACAACCATTAGTGTTATGGTCCACATCCTCATGGAAGTGACAGTATTTGCTCTTGTCACGGTTCTTGATAGAACTCTTCATTGCAGCCGGCTTTTCAAGAGTTAACCGGTCTTTGATCTCCATGAGGATGGAGGAGCAGTCCTTGTTGAACTCGTACTTGGGGACGTACGGCTCCAACTTTCTCTGTTTCTTCTAGGACGGCTAACCAGATCAATCCGCCGCCCAGACTTCTTTTCTTTTCTTGCCCTCTTCTTTTTTGGCCGGTTGGGCAGGCCGGCTCTCTCTCTTGTCGGACCGTCTAGGCTCCGACGAGTGCTTGATGGCACAGAGCTCCGTCGCCAGTATATAGGCTTCGGCTTCCATCAGCGCCTCTTGGAGGGTGGCAAATCTCTTGCGGACCAGGTCGAACTTGAAAGTCGACCCATCCTTCAGACCCTTGAAGAAGTCTGTGTATGCAACTTTGTCAGACAGCCCTTGGATCAGAATTCTCATCAGATTTAATCGCTTGACGTAGGACCGCAGTCCCTCCTTATCTCCCTGCTGAATAGCCCCTAGGTCAAGACTTGTCTTCTTGACAGGGATGTTCATGGAGAAGTTGGACGCAAACAGATATGCGAGTGTCTTAAAGTTGTTGATGCACCCGGCTGGCAGGTTGCCAAACCATCGTTGGGCTATGCCCTTCAATGTTGCCGGGAAGCATCGCCACCAGGCGGCGTCATCCAACCCCTGTAGGTACATGAGGTTGGTGTATGCCATTATGTGGTCTTCCGGGTTGGTGGTACCGTCGTAGGTATCGACCAACACGTTTTTAACCTTGGCCGGCTGTGCCGCCTCGGTTATCTTCCTGGAGAAAGTCGAAGGTTGTTCCCCAAGGTTTAGCATCCGGAGCTGCCAGTCCATAGGTTGGACCTAATGTGCCGCCTGACCCCTAAAGGGGGACGGCTGCATGTATGGTGATCCATACGGCATGTATGGTTGTTGGGGCACATACGGAACCGGTGACTGACTCCCTTGATGTGTCTCCGAATGCTTCATTGAAGTATTATGGAAACTGTCTGGGTAAGTCGGCGTTGAGGCCCACTCAGACATGTGTTGACTTCTCTTTTCCTGGATGAACATCCGGGCGTCAGAGTAAGTCTTCTTTGACCCATCAGGGTGTACTTCCCGGATGGCCTTCCTTTGCCCTGATTCAGGGAAACGAAGTTTGGAGAGATCGATCAGGGGCCCATCCGTCCCCTTTGGTTTAGGGTGAGGAGTAGGCACCCGGTCTTTGAGTTGCTTCTTCCTGGAAGGAGAAGGCTTTTTTGTCGGCTGACCCTTGTTTGAGCCAATTGACTTCTTGATTATGTCCTTGATTTCCCCTTTGAAACTCGTCATGAATTTCATGAGCTCGTCTCTGGTGACGGGGGATGTGCCCTCCACCGCCTGGGGTTGCCCAGCAAGCTTGCCGGCTGGGTTGCTAGGACCAGCTTTGTCTTGCCCCCGTTCCCTTGTTTCTTTGGAACGGGTGCGCCTTGATCAAAGTGACCCGTTTGGGGCCACATAGGTGTCGACCTCATAGTCGTCACCACTATCCTGGTCCGTGTGGACCTTAGGCTCGGCCGAAGGCTGTCTACCCTCAACAGGCGGTACAGTGTCAGATGTCATTTTAGACGTACTCTCCCCACAGACGGCGCCAAATGTTTCGGGGTTTTTTGGAGTCCCTCGGGAGAGTTACAATTCTGGGAATGCGCACCTGACGTCTGTACCTGCAAAACCACGAAACTCCGGTTGGGTGGAGTTCCGCCTTCGACGATCAAATTAGAATGATTCCGGATGGGTAAAAGTGCGGAAAGTAAATGGGTTTTTCTCCCTGATTCAGAGAGACTCCGCAATTAATATTGCTCATTTTTTGTGTGGATTTGTGTATATGTAATAAATAAGGAGTTTCCTCTATTTATAGCAGATGAAGATCTTCTCCCCCATTAGGGTTACAATACCACGTGTCAGCGTCCGATTGGATCGCATCAGGCCTTTGAAGGGCTGCCACGTGTCAACGCGGTATTGGGCCACGTGGCATAGGGGGGGGTTTACCCCAAACACCAGGGGTACAAAAGGGGAAATGCACACCTTGATGTACAAATGCGCTTGCCAATTGTGGTATGAAGAGATCTTTGAGCAACATAGGATCAACTAGCTCCTTACAGAGCCTAGCGATGATGAGTTTGAAGATTATATCGATGATCATGGGCTGCGAAATCGCGTGGCAACGCTCCAAGATGATCCAGGATGTCATAAGACATCTCAATAAGTATATCGTTGTATATATTTAGCCTTAATACCTGTTAAAAGAGCATACACAGTTCAAAACTTATAAGTTTTGAAATGCTCTTATTTTGTAATTATTTTATCTATATAAATATTAAGTAATGTTTTATTCTATGTTTGATATTTTCATAATTAGACATACAATGCTTTATATTTATGCTTTAAAATTCATATTTTGGTTGGTTTAAGCACCATCAACCACCCAAACTAGGGGGCATTTGTTACACCCAAAAATCAGATTTTTGACTTTTTGTTTGACTTTCTCGACTTTGACCGAGTCAAGAAGTTTCTAGAGTCAGTGAAGGATTTTTGAGCTAGTTTGATTAAAACGTAACAACAATTGGGCTAATGTCACGCTAAGGCCCAATAACATATTGGCCGAATTAGGAGAGTAATGGATGATTTTAATTTTCAAAGTAGTGTTGGCGCCAAGAAACATAACCGTATAACAGTTATGGGAGTCAACCATAATCGCTCCATTTTGCCTATAAATAGAGTACAAGGGTAGCAAATCAATCAACAACAAACATTTCATTTCTATTAAGCTTTCTTCTTATCTTTTGTTGTTTCCATTGGCTTAGTAGCCAAGCGATAGTGTAGTTTATCACATAGCATGTATTGAAGATCGTTCGTCTTTTCCAATTGTATGATCATGGAGGTAACCTCTCCTTCAACTTGTACAGTTGTAGACCTGACTCTATCCTTTAATTAAGGGAATGCATTTGTATCATTTGTCATATGTTTATCTACTCGTTTCTTTGAGAAAATCTAAGTTGTTTTACTTCTTTTGGGAAAAGCTTCCCTATTGTTTTGTTTTACGTTAGCAAGATTATCAATCTTTGAAACCGGTAACTCGAGAGGCAACCCCCTAATACTCTAGAGCAAGATAGAGTATTTAACTTGTTGGTAAAGAACAATATTTACCTCAACAAAAACTAAGTAATTATTAAGAAAGAAAGCTATAAAAATAATGGGAAAATAACCTACACTACTACCATATGAGTACCATAAATGAGACTCATCACTCTCCCCTCTCCCTTCCCCAACATGAAAACCAGCAGCCTAAACCCCATTCGATCCACCCCGAAAACCGCCCTTCCTTTACCCTTCACCCTTAAAATAACCGAAATTGACTATGGCAGCCTCAGACGGTCAATTTCGATGGTCGATTCTAGTCATTTCAAGAGAGGGGGAAAGGAGGGTAGGCTAGAAGATTTTAATTAGGTCAATGGTTTTGGGGAGGGGAAAAGGAGTGGTAGTCGATTTTAGGGTTAGGGATGGTGGCTCGGGTGGGGCTTCAAAGAGGGGAAAAAGGGGAGAGATCTCCGGTTTTAATGAAAAGGAAAGGGAGAGGTCGCTAATTTTGGGGGTGGTGGCAAACTAGTAGGGCTGGTTTTGGCGACAGGGTAGGATGGAGTAGGGGGTGCCGACGGCGGGGGGTTGGGCTGCCAACGGTGGCGATTAGGTTTGCCAATGGTGGCGGTGGTGGCTAGGTTAGGGTTAGTTTAGGGTTTTTTTTCACGTTTTCTTTTTTATCCAATATATTGGTGACACGTGTACTTGGTGGGCCTCATTAACGGATTCCATTCAAGAATTCATTATGTGGTGGTTATCCATTTTTTAAATTTTTTTGGTGTTATGATAAAAGTTTTGTTTTTTGTGCTCTAAGCTCGGAATTCGACATCTGAGTATGAAATATCTTTATCGACATATTAAAGCCTTCGACTTAATCCTTTGACTTAATACGTCGCCTTAGTTTGGTGCACGATTGCGTGTGACTCATTCGGTTCAGTCAAATGAAAGCTGTGAGATTAATTATATTAATTTCATTGATCGGAGATGGCCTCTAGCCTGACTTTCTGATTACTTTACTTCACTGAATAATAAGATCCGTAATTAATTCTGAACCATTTATAGGAATAATACACTTATTCGAAGGACATCATTCCTTTCAATCTCCCACTTGTCTAGTGTACAGTATGTGTATTGCCCTTATAATCCAATTGTGCTTATTTGTGATGTTATAAGTCAAAATTTCCAATTTTAAATGTATTTTTTTTTCATTTGATTTCTGGTTTATATGATTATTAATTATGCGTATACATCTTTGTGATCAAAGAATGGCCAAAGGTGATGACAGGGTTGGCTAGGTTAATGAGGTTGTTCAGGTGAAGATTGCATTGGTTGGTGAAAGCATGGAGGTTGTTGTTGTTACGTGAGTTTTAGGGGGGCAATAGTGAGGTAGTGTCGTTTGGCGGGGTGCATTTTGCCTGATCATAGTGACGGACTTAGTAATTGGGTGCCTATTGACACGAGCCCCACCAAAAATATTTTAGTTTCCTATGTGTAGTTTATAATTTAGTTATATTGATGATATCAAAGGCTAGTCTGCACAATTAATCATGTAATCGAAGTTTGAATAAAATTACTCCGTACTTTTTAGTCAGGGTGCATCAACTTAGGTCTGGTTATTTTTTGACACCTTTAACCTCTAATGGAGTTGTCATGTTGCATGTCTAGTTTGAATCAAATCATTTACGGAGTCAAGCACCATATACTTGCCATGTCTATCATTTCACTATAGTCACAATTTTTTCCCTAAAATATTTGTGTGAAAGGAGGTCAGCCGCGTAGGTTGAATTCTCCACTGGTAATATCAAGGTTCTACAATTACAACAGCTCTGCCAAATCACAGTCCTGTCGTACCATTCCTACACCAAACAGAAACTCCCACCTTATTTAAAATTGGTAAAAAAAAAAATTAAATAATGTACTTGTAGTAATTAAATGGTATTGGTACCCTAAGCATCATTTATAAAAACCTCTATAAAAGTCAAACCAAAAATCTCTTTTATCTTTACCATCACATCCTCTCATCTTACGTACACACACAGCATAAATACTCTCAACCACCCTTTTTCCTTCACTAATATTACTACTCCAAATTTCACAAATAAACTTTGTTTATTTTCTCTCTCTACATTTCTGCACCCTTCTTCTACACACTTTCTCAACCCCAAATTCACAAATTAAACATACAAATTCATGAATAGTTAATAACCGATCATTGTTACCTAAACACATGTTCACCCAAACTTGTAGATTACAATCAAGATGCTAGAAGACTTCGCAAAATCAAACTATTTCTCAGACGATCCTGAATCAAAGAGCAATAGTAGTTCATACTCAATGACAGGTAGCGATTTTATACACCCATCACCTGAAAATTTTTCCCTTTTAAAACCACATCGTTCATCTGACTCCACCTTCGAAGCTATCGTCTCGGCTTCTACCGCAGCCAACAACCGTCCTTTAACCTTTAACGACTTCAAACTCATTCGCAAAGTCGGTGCCGGGGATATAAGCACCGTGTACTTGTGCCAACTTCGGTCCGATAAATCGTGCCAATATGCAATGAAGGTGGTGGATCGAGAGATGCTCGCAATGAAGAATAAAACACAAAGAGCAGAGATGGAAAAGAAAATACTCAAATTGCTTGATCATCCATTTTTGCCTACGTTATACGCTCAGTTTGACGCTTCTCATTTTTCTTGCATTGTTATGGAGTATTGCTCTGGTGGTGACTTGCACTCGCTCCGTCATAGCCTCCCTTACCACCGTTTTCCTCTCTCTTCCGCAAGGTACGGAATACATACTTTTCGCATCATTTCTATATTTAGTATCTTTTTATGTCATTCTTTTAGAATTATATATCGTAAACATATACAAGATATAGTCTCGGAAAATATATTATACTTCAGAACTTGAAAACTGATTGACCGGTGTAATTTCTCTTAATACCCTCGGAAACTCGATAACTGATTGACCGGTGTAATTTCGCTTAATTAGTGCATTTCTTTTTTTTTTTTTTGATTAAAATATTTTGATGTGGATTTGTAATTTTAAAATTTTGTGGAATTTATGGATTAAATAATAAATTAATAATAATGATGTTTTTTTCTATAAAGCTGCAAAATTCAGGATTATTTTTATTGGTAGAAATTTCTGGAATTAAAAATCCACAGAGATATTGCAATTACTGTCTGATGATGAGATGACGATGAATTTCATTATTTAAATTATTACTTTTGTTTTTTAATTTATTTTTTCTTGGGACCAGAATTGTTGTTTGTATATGGAGACAAGAGTATTCAGATGTTTTTCATCTGTTGATGCTATGTCTGCTGTTTTGGCAATATTCTGATTTTATAAAATAATTTGAAGTTTTTTTTTTTCCTTTTTTTTTATGTAAATAAATCATCTTAGGATCATAAATGAAAGATTTTACTCCGATTTGGACCCTGTCACTTGCCGAACAATATTGTTTGGAAACAAGTAGTTCCTTTTCTGTATTTTCTTCTTTGAGTTTAGCTCTAGTTCAATTTTCGTCAATATATGTTGATTTTCTTCCTCTTTTATGTTATGTTTGACTGTTATTTTTTGATCTGTTTCGGTTAGTTCAAGTATCAGAGAAAAAAATGGGTGAAATTATAACAATATGGAATCTAAGTAATTATTATTTCACTGAAATAAATTATTGAAGAGCTTGATTATTAAGGATATTATAATTCGTTTTATTTAAATAAATCTAAGTAATTCGTTTTATTTAGTTAGTTTTCACTTATATGAATTTATTTAAATTTACTTGATACACTTAAAGCTTATTTAAATTTAACCAAACTTATTTTGTTGAATGTTTATATATAGCCGTGAAGATATAGTCCTTAATAACCTTTATTGAAACGTATTTAGATCTAACTAAACTTATTTTTGTTGAAAATTAAACTTAGGTATGTAGTCCTTAATAATCCTTATTAAATGAAAAACTTATTGAAATTTAATTGATCTACTTTTTGTTGTAAATTCACGAACCTTAACTTATGTATATGTAGCTCTAAATAACCCTTATTAAAAATTATTGAATTAATTTTACTTAAATTTATTTTATCTTAAAACTAAGTTGAAATAAGATGAACATTGCTAAACATTCTATTTAATCGTTTGGTTGACAAGGGAAATAACTTCCCATAGGAATTGACAAATTATGGAAATTAACTTCCCACATTAGAAATCCCATGAATTGTTGTAAGTTGTTTGCTATTCATGGAGGAATTTGCAAATCATGGGAATTTCAAGTTATCAAGGGGGCACTTGGTAATTTAATTCCCATGTTTTGTAGGAATTGGAAATTCCCATGAATTTGAAATTCCCATATTTTTATGTTTTGTGGTCAACCAAACAAAATCTCAATATCTAAATTTCCATGATTTTCTATTTCCCCCATTTCTTTTGTGCAACCAAATGACACCAAATATGACGGTATTATTATAAAAGTATAAACTTTAGCAACTCTAAAATGATTATGCATGTTAAATTGTGGACTTAACTCCCTCCGATCCAGACTAATCCCTTCTACATAATATTAGAAAACGTACTACTACTCTGTCACTCTTACATTTTATTGTCTTCTTCTATAAATGCATGTATAGCAACCTTGTTAATGCTAAAATGATACTTCCTTCGTCCCATAATTTTGTGTCTGTATTTCTTTTTTAGTGTCTCAAAATGTTGTGCCTACTTTTAAAAATAGCATATAATTATTACTTACTTTTTATCTTTTCCATATAAAATACACATATACCCAAAAAATCATTACCTTACTTTTTCTTTTTTTCATACAATATTCTCTACTTTTTATTATTCCCATACAATATTCTCTACTTTTTATTTTTCTAATATAATATTCCACTACTTCCACTATTTTCCTTAATTACCGTGTTTTTTTGAGAAATCGGCATGAAATAATGGGACGGAGGGAGTATATAAAAGAGTGTTTTTACAATTGGAGGGTTTAGTAGTTCATTAAACTGTTATCCGTTCTTAAAAGATGGCTACTCTGTACTTTTGGTAGTTATACATGTACAAGGTTAATAAGTAAAATAAGATATTGGAAAACAATGCTTAACTGTCACATAATCAATAATTAAATCAGTTAACTAATTTTGAAAAATAGAAACATTACACTAATAGTATGCAAATATATTAACAAATGGGTACAGTTGCATACATGGAAAATATGTATGTATGAGAAAAATGTGTATTAAATAAAATATGGACTAATTTATTTAATTCTAGAAAAAATTAAAATCTAACCATTAAAAGAGAACGTAAAAAATAACAAATGTAACCATCTTTTAAAAACATTGAGAGGAACATAGAATGAAACAAATAAATGACATTTAACTTAGGGCCTTTAATTACACGGAGTAGATGTTTAGAACTTTTTTTTTTATTTTTTTTGAGGAAAGATGTTTAGAACTTTTATTTGTTGATGTTGTAATATCGTTAGATTAATTAAATGAGTTTTGTTTTTTCCTCTAAAAATTAAATGAACTACTGTATTTTTTTTTTATCAGTAGCAATAAATAAGCCAGAGTAATTAATAACGTCGACATTCCTCAAAGCTTGTTTTTATTAAGAATTGTCCTACCACCTTTCTTCGTCCCCTCTTAGCAAACAAAACGCGCAAATGATTGACACCCAAAGAATACTAAAACTTTGTTGTTATTCTTCACCCTTTATTTTTCACACTTTTTAACAAAAATAAAATATTAATGCAATAATATTTCGGAGAATTTGTTCTGAAATGAAAAATACAAGTCTTATTTATTATTCATCAAAACTTATATAGTAGTGAAGTTGTTTGGCATCTAGTAGACTAGTACCCATGTTTAATTATACTTTTCAAGCAAATTGGTTGGAAAACAAATGTTAATTTACACAATTTTTTGTTCAATCTGCTTAGATATCTAGTTATTTGCTTTTACAAAATATTCTACAAAATAATTTCTTATTTTTTTTAAAAAATGACGTATTATTTGATTTATGTGGTTCAATTTTGGCCACTTGAAGGCATTTGGGGCTATGGAAGTATGGAACACTTCTCCCTTCTCAAAGGTCTATTATGTTAATAGGTTGAATTGACCCATGAGAAATTCTAACCCAATGGAAAAGTATATACATGCCAAATAAATTGATCTATGCATGTATTATTTGTATGCAGCTATGCATGATGTATATGTATAATACAATAGTCAATCAATTTCTTAAAACTTAACTTTATGCAAATTCAATTGTTGAAACAAATACGAAGGTTTAGTACGTAGTAGTAGTGATACTGTCCTTGTCATTTGCTCTATTGAAATTCTAAAATATGAATGATTTTCATTAGAACGGCATGTATAATACAATAGTCCGATGATAATGCCGTATAAATTGAGATATTAACTTTAATCCAACACCACAAAGTAATAAAATATAACGTACTACTCTATATACAACTAATATTTAACGAAGCTAGTACATTTTTTGTATTTTTTTTAGGAAATTTTAGAAAATAACCCACAAAAAAACACAAATTTTGATTATAACACCATAAAATTTAAAACTTTTATTATAACATCACAAAAAAAACCTAAAAATTCAATTTCACCACCACTTACTAACGCAATCCAAAGAACTGTTAGTGGGCCCCACACAGTATACGTGTTAGTTATATATTGGATTAAAAAAATAAAAACAAAAAAAAATTATAAAACCCTTAAAATCCTAACCCAGCCACTGTACTCACCACTGGCGTCGGTTTCCCCTGCCCATCGCCGGTACTGGTTCCCCTAGCCCACCACCCTCGACTGACCACCCGAACGACACACCACCCTAACCCTTAAACGTTGTATCCAGCTCAGCCTTAGCCCCGATTTAATTCGGTTTCTGGAAACGAGTTAGGGTTCAGGTGAGGCGGTTTTTGGGTTGGTGTGGATTGGGGTTTCGACGACGACTCTAGGTAGGGGAGAGGATTTTGGCGACGATGATGGTGTGGGAGAGGATTTCGGTGGGCGGTTTTTGGGTTGGTGTGGGAGAGGATTTCGGCGACATGGGTGGTTTTCGGGGAAGGGGAAGGCATAATTCGGCGACGTGGGGTGGTTTCGCTGGTTTTGGTGGGGGAGATGGGTGCTGGCGGCCTGGGTTACGGTGTCGGTGGCTGAGGCAAGGTAGCGCCGGTGGTGGGGCTAGCTGGGTTAAGGGATTTTTTTATTTTTTTTTTAATTTATTTTTCTTTTTATTAATTTAATTTTTTAAATCTATAAGCTATTGACACGTGTCAAATTATGGGCCCCACTAACAGATTCTATCCAAGAATCCGTTAAGTGGTGGTAAAATCAAATTTGTGAGTTTTTTTTTGTGGTGTTATAATCAAAATTTGTGTTTTTTTGTGGTATTATTTTCTATAATTACCTTTTTTTATTTGTATTTTTTATTTTTATTTTTATATTACTGGTAAGTATTTTAAATTTTAATTTTTTATAGACAAAAGTTCCTTCTTGTGCAAGTTTACATTGTTGCAAAGTTTTATTTACTCGTACTATAATTTTGTGTAGTTTACTATGTTAACTCGTGCATGCTCACTGAATTGGTGTTTTACATGTATGGTTCAGGTTTTACGCAGCAGAAGTATTGGTAGCGTTGGAATATCTCCACATGCTTGGAATCATTTACAGAGACTTGAAACCCGAGAACGTTTTAGTGAGATCAGACGGTCACATCATGCTCTCTGATTTCGACCTCTCTTTATGCTCTGATTCCATCCCAGCCGTCCAATCCCCTCATTTTTCATCCCCAACACACCATCCAACGGCTCACAACACCTCCTCTTCTCCACCCAACAATTCCCACAAAAAAACCTCATGTACTTCAAATTCAACTAACACTCCGTTATTCTCATGCATCCCTTACAACCGGCTATTCCGGTCAAAGAAAATCCAAACCTTAAGCGGTAACCGGCTCTTCGTAGCGGAGCCGGTTACCGCTAGGTCTTGCTCCTTCGTTGGGACCCACGAGTACATCGCTCCAGAAGTCGCTTCCGGTAACTCTCACGGTAACGCCGTTGATTGGTGGGCATTTGGGATATTTTTGTACGAGATGATTTATGGACGGACCCCGTTTGCAGGACCGTCGAACGCAGCTACACTGCGTAACATACTGAAAAAGCCTTTGGTATTTCCAACACAATCTCCTACTTCCACGGCAGAGTCTCACGCACGTGACCTCATATCCGAGTTGCTGAAAAAAGAGCCGACGAGTCGACTCGGGTCGAGTCGTGGAGCTGCTGACGTCAAGACCCACCCGTTTTTCAAAGAATTGAATTTCGCGCTTGTGAGGTCGTTGACACCGCCTGCAGTCCCGGGATTCCGACAACAATGCCCGTCAGGTGCGACGTCGTTTAAGGGTAGAAAGGAATCAACGGCGTTTGATTATTTTTGATGGAAAGGTTTTTAAATGGTTGAGATTAACTCCACGTGGCTTGTCGGTCCCGTTATATGTGGGGACAGTGACAGTGTGGTGGGGACAGTTGTATATTCGAGCTGTCTAATTTAATAGAGGAGAGAGAGAAAGATTTTTTTTATAAATATTTTTTTATTTATTTTCGGGGAACTAAATAATTAGGTGTAGGGGTTATCAGGTTATGTAGGAGTGATTCAGAAAAATACGTCACGTCTCACGTAACGTGGGTAAAATTAAATTTAAGTAGAATATTAGATCATCTAATTTGTAAGACTCAATTTTGAATATTAAAATATAAAATAAGTTGTTTTTTTACCTTTAATGATGATACCCAATTCACTTCTCAATTTAACAATCCATGTGAAGTGTAATTTGTGAGACTTTCTAAAGTATCTTAATATCACTTTTAATTTATGGCCCACCAAATTCATATTGTAAGTTTTTTTTTAAAAATAAAATAACATAAAATTTAAATAAATTACAAAATATATTATAATATTAATAAGGGGACGACACTTTTTGTCAAATAAGACTCAAAGTTGAGTATCTAAACTTAGCAACAATCTTTTGGAGTTGTTAAGTTTAGATACCAACTTATTGGTATCCTTTGCAAAAAATACTTTGTCTCTCCTAAAAAAACTCCCTCAAGTCTCACTATTGGAGATGGTCTCATAATGTGGTATGATAGGTTGAGGAAAGAATGTAGCTGCATCCGAGCATGTATTAAGGTGCTACTTTTATTATTTTTTAAATCTAATTTCTTTTTTTTTTTTTTTTTTTTGAGATTCACTCCTTTTATTTGTTTTTTTTAATGCATTTAATTTTTTCATGGTATTCAAATTGTGTTTTGGAAAAATATAAGTATATCTTTATTGATACGTATGTAAAAACTATATATATATATATAAAATTACTTAATAATATTAAATATCAAATGAATGAATCTTAACAAATCTCTCATGAATATATTCTCTAAATAACTATCAGCGCATGGGCGCTATTGATGAGTGAAGCAAATAGGATGGCAATCTATGTAAATATGTTGAAGTTGGGTGGGGACTAGGTGCTAGCTGGAGGAAAAAATAACGGGGCAAAGAAATTGAAAACGGGGAAACTAAAATGTAAGTGGGAAACCAGATGACGTCTGACAAAGCAACTTTCCTCTTTCATTCCTCTTCTTCCCAAAGCTCCTTCATTCTTCTTTCTTCCCAAAACATAGTTTTACTGTTCAATGGTGAATTGAGCGAAATGAAATTGAAGGCATTGAAATCCTCTCCCAGGTGCACTAAAACCACTGAAAAGGTGTAAATTTGACATTGGAAATTGAGGATGAGAACGAGGTTAGCTGACATTCTTGGTGTGGATATAACTGAAGCAGTTGGTGACGGTGGACAAGACGGACATGGGTGCGCTCGGGAGTTGCGATTTGATTGTGAAAATGTAAGTTTCGTACATGCATTATTGTAATTATTCATTTTGAAGGTAGATTTGTAATTAATTTTGGAAATGGGGAAGTGTGATGTAGTTATTCATAGATGGTTAGCAATTAATTTGTGAATCCGAACTACATTTTGACAATGCGAAATCGGTTAGTTGCTGATTTATTGGGAGTTGATTTAGCAGAAGCATTGCCTGAAGGTGGTGAAGAAGGCCATGGTTGCGCAAGGGAGTTGCGGTTTGATAGTGAGAATGTAAGTGTTCGAAACCCGTATGTAGGTCATTCTGTTGTGTATGAGGTATTTGTTTGAGTTAAAAGTTAGTAAGACATGAGTTGAGGGAGTAAACAAAATTGAATTAGCCGAAAAGGTAGGGTTTTTTTGGTGTCTCTCAATTATTGGTATCCTGCCAATTTATAGTTGTTGTTGATAGTGATTGTCTTAGTGCTTAAATAAGTAGGCATATTGTTTAAATGTAAGTCATTTTTTGAGCAATTGTTGTTGGTATTGTTAGATTGTTGATTGTAACTTGATCAATTGGTCAGTGTGGTTAATCTGTGTTGTGTTTGTTGGATTTTGGAGTAGGTTGAAATTAATAGTGAGGGTTGTCTTTACATTCTGAAATTGATACATGGAAAATGGTTGTTCATTGGTATGGTGGTTTCTGTAGCCATGAAAATGATGTTATGTATAATGTAGATATTGTACTTTGTTACTTGTGGTGGTGTTGTGTATGTGATTGTTTATGGCTGTGTCATTGTTATAGGGGGGTGATGGTGGTGAGGATGATGTATGTGGTAATGAGGAGGGATTTGAGAGTGAGCATGGGTATGGAGAAGGAGATGAGTAGGAGAATGAACAGGGATCAGAAGATGATGGAGAGGAAAGGGGGTTAGATTATGAGGAAGTTGAAGTGGTGGAAGGAGTTGAAGATAAAGGAGTTGAAAATTGAGGGTTATAAATGAGTATTTGAATTGGGTAATTATAAAATGTAGATTGTTTTAATTAGATGAGGAAGATGTTAGGCTTAGGAACCTTTGTTATGGCTAGGACCCTTTGTTGTAAATTTGATATGAACTTCAATCCACATAATTGAGTAAGTAAATGGTTAATCGGTAGTGTTAAATTGCCATAATCTTTGATATGAAAGTAGATTGTTCATTTTTATTTGATAAAATGGGTGTTGTAGTTGAGTTGATGAAATTTGTTTAATGTATCATAATTGTTTGGGAATGTGTTGGTTTAAGAATGGTAATGGAGTGAAGGATGAGTTGCTTCTAATTGTATGAGTTATTGTCGAACCTGTTTGTGTTTAAATTTGTACAAACCAAAAAAAAATGCTTTGAACTTGTTATTTATCGAACCAGTTGCTGTTAAAGAAGGTTAAAAAAAGTTTTGTTATGAATTATGTGATCATGTAGTTTGTTGGGTTTGGTGTTGTCGTGTATGTGTTTGGTTATTGGCTGTTTGTTGTATTGTTGTATTTTGAATGAGTCATGGTTGTGTATGTGCATTAGGTAGATGTTGCTGATGGATATGAAGATGGTGGGGAGGATGATGTATCTGTTTATGAGGAGGGATTAGAGAGTGTGGGATTAGTGAGTGATGATGGATTAAGAGAAGGTGAGGTGCAGGAGGATGAAGAGGGAGAAGGGTTTGAGGTTGAGGATAAGGGGGCAGATTACAAGGAAGATGAAGTTGAGCCTGGTGTTGAAGGGGAATTTGATGGGGCTGGTGCAGAAGGTTCCTCATTCATAACCCCAAAGAAGAACACGATAATGGTGCACACTGTGTTTGGTGTGGAAGAGGAAGTACCACCCCCAAGTTTGGGCATGGGGTATTTGGGAGTTGGGATGAGTTGGATACCTATTTCTGGAGTTATGCTAGGCAAAAGGGTTTTGGTATAGTGAGGGCTGCTTCTGGGTGGGTGGATGTGAAGAAGGAATTGGAAAAGGGGAAGTGTTGTAAGCAGAGAAGGAATGCAAAGTGGACTTGTGACTGTTATGGTTACGCTTCAAGGAAGTGTAAATAGGATGCACTTAAGGAAGGGTTGTTGCAAGGTGAGGAGACAATTCAGAAACGGAAGACTAAAAAGTGCGGGTGTCTTGTGGAGTTGTATGCCAGTGTTAATGAGGAAGGGAACTAGGTTGTTCGAAGGCTGAATTTGGAGCACAAAGGTCACATTGTTACTCCGGGAAAGTCAAAGGATGTAGCGATGTACCGGAAGCACGAGTTAATGGTGAAAAACAATCACTTGGTGAAGCAGGTGCATACGGCGAAGAAGTCTAAGGTGAAGGTATCCCAAATGTACAACTGTTATGCTTGGGAGCGTAATGGAGTGGAGGAGATGACATTTACGCAAAGAGACTTGGAGAATGCAGTGGCTCAGAAAATGAGCCTTGAGCTTACTGAGGGTGATGCGAATGGCATGATAGAGTACTTCAACAAAATGAGTGCCGACAATCAGAATTTTTTCCATCTATGTCGGTTTGGGAAGAACGACGAGGCATTACAAGATGTTGTGTGGGTAAACGCGAGGAGTAGAGTTGCGTATGAGGAGTTTGGAGATGTTGTGTGTTTTGACAATACGTATTTGACAAACAAATTTCACCTTCCCTTTGCTGTGTTTATCGGTGTGAACCATCATGGGCAGAGTATTTTGTTTGGGTGTGCATTGATCTCTTGGGAGACGGCGGAGACCTATGAGTGGGTGTTGAGGACTTGGCTACATTGCATGGGGGGTAAAGCTCCTATCTCAATCCTAACGGATCAAGATTCGGCGATTAAGAAAGCTGTAAACTTGACTATGGCTGAGAGTTGCCATAGTGGTGCATATGGCACATACTTCAGAAGTTTGGGAGGTATGTGGGTAAGCATGAGGACTATGAAGGTGTAAAGGATGAGTTTGAAAATATCATTTATGGTAGTTTAGATGCTGATGAATTTGTAGATTGTTGGGTGGACGCAGTTGATTATTACAAATTAGGTGATAACAGCTGGCTTGAAGGTACTACACTTCCATTTCTTCCATTTTTTTTTTTGTTTTTTGTTTGTGATTGTTGCTGATTTCTGTTAGAATATGCAGAGGTGTAGCTGTGTGCAAGGGACTAGAAGCTGTTTTAGTTCTGATTTAGGGTAGGAGCAGGTTTAGTGGTAGACTTTTGTATCACTGAATTTTGTTGTTGCAAGTTTCTTAGCTGTGGCACAATTCTAAGATAGTGAATGTACCATTCACAAGAGTCCAGGTGTATGAGGTTTGTATGTTTTTAGATGGGCCATTAATTGCAATTATTTGAAATGTAGGGCTGTATGAGGAAAGGCACATGTGGATCCCAACCTATTTTAAGCATTTATTCTGGGCCAGGATGAGAACGACCCAACGTTCCGAAAGTTTTAATCACTTCTTCAAAGGTTATGTTGATAAGCATACAACGTTGTCTGAATTTGTGCTTCGATACTGCGATGCAATGCAGGTAAGGGCCAAGTCAGAAAGAATTGCGGACTCCAACACACTACGGTACATCAGGCATGTAGCTACCGATTTCCCAGCGGAGGAAGTGTTCCAGAAGTGTTACACGGACGCGAAATTCAAAGAAGTCCAGCAGGAGTGCAAGAGGATGTTGTACGTGCGTCGCCTAGATGACTATGAAGTTAGTGAGAATCAAGTTGAGTTTGTTATTGAGGACCGAGTGTGGATCAAGCCAAAAAAATGCAAAAAAAGAATCTGTGACTAAGACTCGGAGATGCTACAAGGTGTGCTATGACAGTAATACATATGAAGCTAGTTGTGACAGTAAACACTTTGAGTGCCATGGAATCATTTGTCGACATATGATCTTTGTGTATGACCATTGCGGTGTTTCTTTTGTTCCTAAGAAGTATATTCTACGTCGTTGGAGGAAGGATATTCAAAGGAAACACACACGAGTGAATTTAGCTTACCATGATCCACTTAAAACCGATGAAGCCAGGCAATATCACAAATT